AGTCCTATATAATTTGTATCTCACAATCACAATTCCTCGTGCTTAACAAATTACCAAGACTTGAATCTATAGATTCTATTATTTAATTTATTAGAAAATTAATTCAATTAAATAATAGATATTGCCATAAATATGTATCAATTATATATTAAAAATGTTTATGCTCAAAGTTGATTGGATTTAGGACATAACATTTACACAGACAATGTTTTAGCAAAAACTTTTTCGACTTCTTTTCAACTGAAGCTTTGGTGGAAATAAATCTTTACACAAATGAAGAACCAACGCATGCATCTGAAAATGAAAGGAAATAATACACAGTTTTTGGAAGAAATCATGTTTTAAATTCCTAGAAATTGTAGGATTATATACCCAAAGGGAATAGGCCACGTCTAAAATCATCCCAGTTGAAAAGAATAATGATTCAAATATGACTCATCCTCAAGGCCGTTATAGGCTCTCCTGTTCAGCTCAAGAGTAAGTATATTTACATAGATGCGGAAAAAAAAACTAAACAAATTATTCAATCCACATCCAAATATCTGTCAAAATAGAGAAAGTTTAGAAAATCTAAAAGATCCATGATCAATGAATCAACCTCTCCTATTTCCTACTTTTTCCTTTAAATTGTTAACCACATATCATTTCAGGCATCAGCATAAAAATTCTGAAGATAGTTTTTGTATTTTATATGTGCAATGAAATTCACGTAACCTGATCAAAATAAGAGTACGTGAATTAGGGTAAAATGAATGCACATACATTGTTATTGATCCCCATAACAGTTCTTAAAATACAACAGTCTTGTTCCGTTCATAAGGTAGAACTCGTAGCTCACAGTATGACTTAATTGCTTTCGCAAGGCACTGCTTCTCAAGGTCCTCGGATTTCTGTATAAAACTCCGCAAATTGTCCCTGTGGGAAACTCTCTCGACCTGAAACAGGAAAGATGATATTAAGGCATCCTTAAGGAGTAGCACTTGTCACCATGCAATTCTAGAATTCTAAAACTCATAAACTCAAGGGAGGTGTTTTGAGGTCATTCCTATCACATTTAATAGACAACCACACTGGAATTCTCAACAACCTTTAGCTGAAACTAATGTGCAATTTCCCTGCATATCATAAATATAGCTTATTATAGAAACATCTTCTAGCTGTCATTTCACCGACAAGGTTACTATATACTTATTCTAAAACATTTCTATAAATGGTTTCCGCTGTCTCTAATGCCTGCCAATTTAGC